TATGCAGGTTTTTTTTTTTATATATATATATTTTTTTTTTGTATATTTATTTCAGCTAGTTGCCACATTATTTCTAATTTACATTTAAGTTGTATAAGTTTTTTTATCTAATATTCATATATTATCATTAAGTTTTTCATTTATATATTATTTTCTTGATGCAATAGTTTTATATATTGTGTTCTACTTTCTATTTTTATTTAGATATGGTTATGAATTCCACTTTTTTGGAATGAATTTGACTTTTTTTTAAAGTCATGCATGCATTTTTTAAAATTATATATAGTCTATTATTTACATAGTCAATTTTTCTATAGTCATTTGTATAGTCAATTTTTTTCTTTATGTATCTCATTTTTTAAATTTGTTTATTAATTTAGTGTATTACATTTTTTAAATCTATTTATTAGTGGTCTTTGCGAAGTCCAAGCATCGGTATTAATATTGCTAATATACACTGTTAGTTTGCTAAGTATTACACGTCATTGCTTGTCCTGTATTTGTCTTACAGATATGAATAATGCCTCAAATCATATTGTTTGCTAAACAGATGTGTGCTTTTACTTTTCTAAGCTATTGAACTGGCAGTTAGCATTGAATGAGGAACTTGTGCCATATCTAGAGGTCAGAATATAGAGACTTTTGACTCAGGCCTGTATGCAACCACCAGAACACCACAGCTCTGTGGCATTGAGTTTTGCATGGGCCAATACCACTCTTATTTTCCTCAGAAAATGTAAAAATCTAATTAATTTCTGCTTTTGCTCAGTAATTACCTCAGGACGACTTCCCTCGGTAGAATTGCACAGAACTTGGCTGGGGTTTACTGACTGTACAGGGGAGTCATTAAAGAAAATGAATTAACTAATAAGAGGCTTGGGTTTTGCATCATTGCTGCCACTTCACACGTTCTTTAGGCACATCATTACCACTTGAAGACCCAGAAAGCTCTAAATGATGACAAATAGCCTCCTGTCGATACTATATATATATATATATATATATATATAATTTTGTATATTATATTTATGTATTATAAAATACTGATTAATACTAACACTGATTAAAAATTACATTTCATTTAATTTAGCGGTCCATGGGCCAATATTCATTCTGAGGCAGAGACTAAACCAGTACTAACCATCATAACCCAAACTCGCACTGGTCTTGTCAGTAAGGTTATTAGATTTGTTGCTTTGTGAACTGCGTGTTCCATCGCTGTGGTCCTTCACACTTAATTAATTAGCTTGTAGATGGGCTTAACAACTAATTAGCTGATGTCCTGGTCTAGCTGAGGTGAGTAATTAAGGAAATGAGGTGATGTAGTGGCAATCTCGAACAAGTATTTAGGACCAAGTATTTCTCACTAGACCGGCCCCACACTTGAGAGAACTGACCATCCGTTCTTCTCAATGAGATTACATTTGGCTGGAAAACAAAACACTATTTACATCTGCCACAAAGAGAAAGAGAGCGGACCTAATGGATTACGATAGTCTAAGATGAATTTGTTTGTGTGCCTGGCTTCACCCAGTAAAACCTCCCTATTTTCAGACCTATATTACAACTAATGGGAAATTGAGCGAAAAGATAAATATGGCTGCACTTTTGCTCTGGCAGCGATCGTTTAGATTGCCGCTGACTGCATTGAGTAATTAACTGCCTCTGACAGGATCAAGAGAAGCCAATGAGAGAGAGCGATCTGAATGGCTTTCTGAGCAAGAATGAATCATTAATTGTTGTTTTACTTCAACTGGGGTACAGCAGGTTCTTCCTATAAACCCATTTCCTGTAATGTTCACAGTACATGTGCATCACTTTATTACAGACAGATTTTTGTTTTATTTCTGCCCTTTTTTATGAATAGGGGCCAGTGCGTGATGGAAATCCCCAGCAAGAGGACCGCAGCTGAGAGCCTGTGTACTTCTAGGCCCAAAAATCAAAAAGGTAAAGGCAAATTATATTTTGAATAAAGAACAATTTAGATTTTTTTTGTATTGTTATTTTCATGATAATTATGCACATGCATCCCTTCATTTTTATTACTCAAACGCAAAACATTTATTTAATTATATTTTTCATTGTGAAATATTTATACGTCACAGTAGTGTTTGTTGTACTGACCTTATTTAAATTAAATATTTCTATTTTTTATTTATTTAAATATTTGTTTATCAAATTTTTATATTTTATTTAAATAATTTTATTACTATATATATATATTTATATATTTTTGTAGATTTTAGTATTTAGTTTTTTTGTCTACAGTACAAAACTTGCATTAATTTGCAGAATTTGTGGACAAAAATGTGAAAGATAGTGACAGTGGATATGTTTTAATGAAGTCCACCTAAATATTAAAGCTGCTATATTCTAGTCTAACTATATTCTTAGTTTTAAATAAAACTAGCTTTTTGAACACTAGCACCATATAGTATTGTTGTCCATGTAAAAGTACTTTGCAATATGATTTAGATAACATGAATGTAATATGATATGATATGTACTATAAAATCTTATATAATCAAAAAAAAAAGGGAAAAAAAAAAACCCTGGTGTCCATCAAAGTCCCATGATTTATCAAATGCTCATACCATCACTGAATCATTATTATTTCTATAATTAGGAAAATAGCACGAAATCTAGTGTGAACAAAAGTAAAGGTCTGATTCTCTGAGTTTCAGAAGTATCACCACTAACTCAGCATTGTCATAGTATCCTACAGTTAAAAGTTGCATTAATCTGCAATGAGAATTTGGGGAACTGGCATTTAATTATAATAAAAGTAATAAAAAAAAATTCTCTATCAAAGTTTCACTTATAATAAAACTGGCTGGTTGCAGCTCTAAATACAGTTCATTAGACACAAAGCCAAGCTCTCCACACACATGAAAGCCACTGTCTCTGTGACATTCACTAACTTTCAGAGGGGCTTGGTAAAGCGTTGGACATTTAGTGGGGCAACAATTGTTGCACAGGCCTCCATATGTGATCAACCCTTTTGACAAGGTCAAACACGCTGGATATCTGCAG